TTGCTGGAAGAAGAAGAAGCTGCAGTAGTAGAAGCACCTCCAAATCCTTTGATTCCGGCTGGGGCGGCAGCACTCTTATTCTTGGTCTTTGTCTTTTTCTTTTTGGTCGCCTTGGCCCAGAGACTGGTAGTGCTTCTTCTGGTTGTTGTGGATGATGATGTGTGGATACCACCAACGGCAAACCGATTGTGGAGAGACGCAGAAAAAGCCAAGGTGCCAGAGGCTGCCACCAGAAGCACCAAACTCAAAACTGGTATAAAATTTCTACTAAAGACAGTCATGATCCTACCGTATCAGTCCTCCTGCAATATCAATAGATGGTAGTATATTGGCAGTTCTACAGCTCGTTGTAATGCAAGATATGGCTGATATCGATGGTGTGACAGCAAGGAGTGCTAGCTAGTACTAGTAGTAGCAAAAAGGGAGATGGTAGATGGGAGAGATGTTGATTTGAATGACGTCATTATACAGTCCCGAGTTCCTGAAGTTCGTGACTGTCACTCACCACCACCCAACATTTTCCAAACTCTTTCGGAAGCCCAACCTTTTCTCGTTTGTCTCATTTTCTTCGAAGGATCCACAAAATATCGACACAAGCAACCCCCCACCATCGATATCAACATGCCCGAAGAACAGCAACCAGACCATGATTGGGACAAGGTGATTCTGTCGTCCCTCAAGAAGGAAACTAAGAAAGGAGAAGAGACTGTGGATGTGAAGCAATTGCGAAAAAGAGTCCTTCAAAACCTGGAACTCGACGAATCCGATAAAAAGGGCAAGAAAGCCTTCAAGAAAGCAATGAAGGGACTCGAACAGCAGGAATGTCTCACCATTGATGCCAATGGGGTTGTATCCTACCTCAAAAAGAAAAAAGAGGACAAGAAGGATAAGAAACGAAAGAAAAAGGAAGAAAAGAAGGAACGCAAGAAAAAGAAACAAAAGAGAGAAGAACCTGAAAAGGAAGAAGATGCTCCAGAAGAAGACAATGATGAGGATAGCAAGGAACAGCAAGGTAATGAGGAGGAAGAACAACAACATGACAATGAACCAGAAAACCAAGAAACACAAAATTCTCAAAAAGGCGTTCCTTGTCCTGGAAATCCCGGTGGTGTGACACGCTTATTCCTTGGCAATCTACCCTTTGCCGTCGACGAAACTTCCTTGAGCGAATTTCTACCCAACGCTGTGACGCACATTAAATGGATCACTGACAAGGAAACTGGAAAATTCTACGGTTCCGCCTTTATCGAAATGGATACCCCATCGGCCGCCGCAAAGGCCGTCGAACAAACTACCGGATCCAAACTCATGGGACGTCCCGTCAAAATCAATTTTGCACCCGCGCGACCGGGGGATGTATGGCCTCCGGCAAACAAGGTTATTTCGGGAAATGGAAACGCCAAAGGAGGACAAGCAGGAGGAAGCGGTGTCCAAGCCATGGGAGCCAAACCGGACAATTGTGTCAAACTCTTTATTGGAAATCTCTCCTATGATATTGACGATGACGCCATTACCAAGTTCTTTGACAATGCCGGTGCCGAAGTCAAGGCCGTCCGGTGGTTGTCGCATAAGGAGACTGGTGATTTCAAGGGATGGTACGTTCTTTCCGTATAAATAAACAATCATGTGGTAACGGTTGGCGTGGGGCTTGCTCAATACTTGTTCTAACCAACTTTGTCTTACCTCACTCTGGATTGGTGGCAGTGGATTTGTGGAGTTCTGGAATTCGGAAGCCTGCGACAAGGCTGCTACATTGAATGGAAAGAACCTGCTAGGTCGACCAATTCGCATTGATTGGACGGATTGAGGCTATGACGGCTTTCGTACCCATCATGGCCTACAGTACTCCACCAAAAGCACAACTAGTATCGGTTGGCGCAGATTGTGGCTCTGTAACGGCAGCATGAAATACTGATAAGGAATCTTTCTAGCTGTGGCAGGCACCAACTAGCTAGTGAACAAATAATGCAACTGTTAGCTGGCTAAAAAACGTCACCAGAGACTCAAAACCACAACAATCATGTTGGTCATAGTAGCTTGTTTGACTGCTTTCTTTCACACACTTCCGCGATGCTTTGCACTTTACATCAGTCAATGGCTTATGAATTAACGATATACGGCTGATACTAGCGTGGTAGCATGAAAGCAGACCTCTCGTCACCTCTCTCTAGAGTAGCTAGCTAGAGCTCCAATCGTCTACAGGGGGCATTGGGTCAAATGGCCATGGAACTTGCAGAATGCCCACACCTTGCAATTCGCGTGCATACTGAGCTTCACTTACTTCAAGGAGCCAACAAACCTTCGACCTCTACTAGAGCTGATTTGTTGCAACAATACTGATAGTGGACGATGAGCCCGAAGCTGCGTACCGTACTTGTGGTACCCACCAACCTTAGCGAGTCTAGACACATCGAGATAGCTCTTCTAGCTAGCTAGCGATACAAGTAGAAATCGAGGGAATTTTCTGCCAGCGCACACTTTCCAAATCCAGTTTCAAGGACGACCCGTATCGTCCACCCCGGCCAACCATTGATACTGTGGCTAAAGCTGGACCGGAGCCAGTCGAGCTGATGTGTGTGTGTCGGGACTGCATCCCGTGGATTAGGAGCCTGTCGTGTTTTTTGAGTTAGGAACGGCGTGGCTTCGGGTGGCCAAATTCGGGGGGAGGTCGCGCTCAAGGTTCATGCTACTCCAGAGCGCAAATGCGGACAGTCCTCATTTACTACTTAGTTTTAAGAAACCAGTCAACCTAACATCAGCTAGTAGAGTGAAGATCAGTCAGTATTTAGACCTTGACATTAAGACACATTGTAACATTTATACCCTTACATTTAGACATATTTGGTGCAAAAATGAGCACTGCTAGTAAACACCCAATATGACACTAACAACTACACTATCTCAACAAAGTAAGACAATGTCATTCAAAACAACATCAGTGCTGACAACTACCATTCAACAACTAGGTCAATTGGTTGGATATTGACTGAGATCTGGTAACCAGAAGTTGGTGGCTTTTGGATCACAAAGTCATCCTCCAGTCATGCTTCCAGGAACATTCAGGTTGGAATTCCTATTTGGTTCCGAAGCGTTCCAGAGGTTTTCCTCATTTTTGCATCTGTCCGCATTTTTGCCGCAGAGTAGCATGTGGAGCGAAATTTTGACGGGGCTCTGCGATGAGGGCCGTAGCGGCACAAATTACGACTGTGGTCGCACCATGAAAAAGCTCCATATCGTATCCTCCTGTACATTGGGGAGACAGCCAGACGGAAAATAGTTAGTTTCCACTCTACCAGTGTCTCACAATTTGACAAAGTCTGCCCCCAAAGTGAACAAATGAGGCTAACAAATTTGCGCTGGAGATCCTACATTTTCGAAGCAGTACCATTGGACGGCTGGCCACAGCACCGTCTCTACTGGTAGCACCACACGAAGCCTTTGTGTTTTACAAAGAGAACTCTACGAGCCAGTGGAAGTTTCGAGTGAGCAAGAGAAGTTACATTAGCAGTTGGTATACCATCGCTTGGATTCATCTTTCTTTCGCTGTAGCCTTCGACAACTGAGCCACCAAGAGTATATTGCTATTGCAAACCATGAGCGGCACGACAGGTTCCAGTACGGGCAGTTCAGATGTCAGCCTAAATGATCTGAGCGCCAACCACAATAATGAGCTGTTCGCGAATGCAGTTGCAGATTCTTGTGTCGATGCATTGGCGCAGATGGATCTTTTTCCGCCCCCAGAGCAAGCTCTAGAAGACGGCACCCTTCAGGATGACGATAGCAGCAGCAAACCAAAGCCCAAGGAAGACAAACAGTTTCTACTGGCAGATAATACTGGATACGTGGATGTCATGGGTGAAACAGAAAATCTTTGGAACAAGGCAATAACTACTCTTTCAAAAAACAAAGCTGAAACCCCCAAGATGCTTCCGAATAGCTCCACCTATGAAGACCTTGACACGAATGGAGTAGCGGGAAAGACTCTAGGAAAAGGAGAGTTTGCAAAAAAGAAGTCTGCCTATGACATGAGCCCTATCATGTTGGATGGAGACATTACGGGAGGAGAGGCTCCTGGCATGAGCGACAATGACAACAAGAAGGGTAGGAAGGTAATCCCATCTTCCGACTATTCGATTGACGGAGAGTCTGCAATGCTGTGGGGAGATGATCCTGAAAATGCTTACTTCAAGTATATGATGGAACAAGAGGCTGAGGCCCGTGCCCTGGAGGGGAAGGATCAAGACGACAGCCTAATGGCAGAGAGCGCCCGACAGGAATTACTGAACAACACGGGCTACGGAGGTGGAAACTCCTCCCTGGAAGACGATACGACTCTGGGGCATGGAAGCAAGGCCATTGGGTGGGAGCCCTCGACAATTGCAGGCGGTCCCTCGACAATTGCAGGCGGTCAACTCTCCACATTGACCCCCTCGCATAACCCATCTGGATCACAGAAAGCGTATGTAAAAAATGGCCAACTCATTATCCCCAATGTCATTTACGTTCAAGATGGCACTGATCCGGACCCCCAGGCTCAGGCTCGTAACTGGAACAACAGCCCAATAGAGAACTTCGTGGCGAACGACCCTGTAAGGAGCAAGTCTCCTACAAATAACAAATCCAAGAGAACAAAGGAAGTTCCAGAGCAACCCCGAAGATCATCCTCGCATCGACAGAGTGGTGCAAGCAAAGCAGCAACCAAACAACTTGCAGAGGAAGGTGAAGGCGCCATGATGGATGACAGGTACAAGTCAGGATGGTATACTCATCGCCTCTTGATTGGCTTCGCCTTGTTTTTCCTTGTCTTGACCACGGGGCTGGTAGCAGCGCTGATTGTATACCGCAACTATTACGCCGACGATGGCACGACCACCGACACCACAACCTCACCAGCAAGTCCTACGAGTACATCGACTAGCTTGGGTGAGATTGGGAACCCCCTTACTTGGTCTCCGTCTCCGTATCCAACACCATGGCCCACACGATGGCCCACCACGAGTCCAACTGTGGGGATTCCAACAAACTTGCGTCCTCACGTTCTTGCTAGAGGGCCGACGAGGCTGCCTACGTGGGCACCCACAGGTATACCCACTTGGATGCCCACTGGAGCACCATCGTTCAAGCCCTTTACTGATTCACCAACGAGGTCCCCGACTTCTGATCCAAGCGCGGCCCCCACAGGTTCACCAACAAAAACTCCCACAGGTATTCCCACTGGTATCCCAACGGCTTATCCAACCTTTCTACCAACAACGACGCCAACCGCTGTCCCAACTGGATTTCCAACCTCGACGGAGCTGCCAAGCGCCATCCCCAGTTTTAGACCATCCAGAGAGCCGACAATATCTCCAACCAAACTATCGTCCCCTCCGTCATCCCCTCCTACAACCGAGCCTACACCTACTCTTTTTCTGCCTACTACAGCCGAGCCAACACCTACTCTTCTTCTGCCTACTGTAGACCCTTCTGTGGACAGCGACCAAAACACAACCATTGTCATTGTCTCTCCTGCCGATGTTCCCACAACAACTCCAAGTGATGCACCAACGACGACGGCGACAACGACGACACCTTCGATTGCACCTGCGACAACTGTGCCTATCACATCTAGCCCTGTGACCAGGCCTCCGGTAGCTGGAGCTCCACCCGTATCAAAACCAACCACCGCTCCAACCTCATCAGGTTCTGTGGCGGAAACTACTTTACAGCCATCTAACAATCCAACATCCAAGCCAACACCCAAACCTTCTCAAAGCCCAGTGACCGAACCAACAAGTAGCCCTCCGACAGTTCAGCCAACACCAAGGCCCACGCCCATGCCAACAGATCAACCATCGCCAGAACCAACTAATCCAGTCCCAACAAGGACACCCACCGGCACGCCAACAAATCCACCCTCAACCGCAAGCCCTTCGACTCAACCACCGGTCCCTTTCTATGTAGAACTGGGTCATGTAAAAAGTTTCTTGTTGGAATATTCTCCAATGTCCACGGATGAATTGGATGATGAACAATCCACGCAGTATCAAGCATTAGTGTGGCTCGCAAACTGGATGGCAAGTGTGCCACCGCAAGAACTCGGTCGCATCACCAAGAGAAGGTTGGTCCAGCGATGGGCCCTTGCAGTCCTTTACTTGGATTTGAATGGTCCCAACTGGACAAACGGTTCAAGCGATTGGATGGGTGAAGAGGACTCTTGTGTTTGGCTTCGGAACAACAACCAGGGCACCTGCAATGCAGCTGCATTAGTCATGACACTCGATCTTTCGAGCAATAACTTGCGTGGGACCCTACCAAAAGAGATTGCTCTTTTATCTTCCGGACTGAGTAAGCTGTTCCGGGTCAACTTGATACCAAGTTTTCTTTAGATTTGAAACCTCACTTGTGCCGTACCCTTTTGACAGCTCGACTTGAAATGGACCGAAATGATATCTCTGGTCCCCTTCCGATTCACTTCGGGAGAATGAGACAGCTTGGTAAGCATTCTTCCAAAACCACTAAGGGCTTCTTCTTGTGATAAAAGGCTTTACCCTAACGTGCTGCACCCTGCCTGCTCTTTACGATAGTATCTCTCGACTTTACGCGGTGCGATTTGACAGGGTCCATCCCAACTCATGTGGGCGATCTTCAAAGCCTGGCCATTTTGGGTAAGCAACACGACTGTCTTGGCGCCTTGCACGGCCTGTCGTTCTTGTCTAATCTATTCATCTCCGCTTACGCTTCCTCGTCAGGCTTTGGTCGAAATGACTTTGTCGGCTCGATTCCCACAGAGATCGGGAAATTGAGCAATCTCGGTAAGCTACGGCAAAGAGCTTGTGAAGGTGAAACCGTAACAATGCTCTGATTTCTTATTGTTCTACTTCTACTCGTGTGTCTTCCTAGTGTATTTGGGCATGGAACGCAATGATATACGAGGAACCATTCCCACCGAAATCACTGCTCTCACGAACCTGGGTACGTCTTGTCGAATGAGTCGCTTCGGCGGTCTGGCTAGTAGTGGAGTGAAGAGGCAGAGTCGTCTGACTTGTGTGTGTGTGTCCACTTTCTCTTTCACTCTACTATAGAATACATTGCTCTGGATTGGAACGCTTTGACGGGGGAGGTCCCACCCGCGTTGAGCAATCTCAGCAGTCTCCGAACTCTCATTCTGGCAAGAAACTCATTGGAAGGAGAAGTTCCATCAGAGTTTTGCGAGCGTTCCATGGACTTTGTAGCCGCCGATTGCGATGAAGTCAGTTGCTCGTGTTGTGACTTGTGCTGCGAGAACGGACAAGGATGCGCCAGTACATAGCAGGGCTGTGTACTGTAGTGCATTCAACCTCGAGCTGTATTCATGAAGCAACTCTTGGCTTCTTGCTTCTTACAGCATCGTGGTGGTACCCATCTCAAGAACATTCGCTAGGAAGCTGTCTTGTGGGAGATACAGTTCATGTCTATTCGTTTGGTTGGTCGATGGAATCGAATCAAGTCTCATCATTCAAGCATGGAAGTTTCTCTCGTCATCATCAGCACCAGAAGAACATGTCTTTACCTATCATAATTAGACTTGTACAGTTTTATCCCTTTATTCATAAAACACGTACAAAAGAAGCAGGGCCTAGTGAGCAATGATCATCAATCACGGAGTAGATTGCAACAACAGCAAAAAACAACAACAGCAAAAACAACAACAACAAGCCCACAATGTCTGTTCATGGAAGTAAGACTGTCACTAGCTGGAATGTTCCATCACGGTGGGTTTACGCCCTTCAGAACGAAGGGCACATCTAGTGTGAAGGAGAAAGTGAAAAGCCAGTGTTCGATCCTCTCGCACAATAATGGAGGGAGTAGGCCACGGATAAACCGTCGAAAGAGACGGCAAGGTCTACCCCCAATGTAAGTTGTGCATGCATGCATCCAACAACAGCAACAAAACCAAACAAAAGCATGCAATGATTCGATTCCAACAAGATGCTGCAACATCACGGTCTTGAAATCTCATACCTCATTGCTCACCATTCGGAGAGTATCACAATTGCCGCTGTTTATTTTCGACATGATAATTACTCCAGGGTCCACCTTCGAGCGAGTAGTAGTCCATGGGATACACGTCTTGCCATTTGGTTTCTTCCAAGCAGACGGACAATTCGTAGGGTGTCAATACGGGCTTGGCCGCCAAGTAGTGTCCCCAATCGACAGAGAGACGAGGACATGCCACTTGTACCCAGGCATCAATTTTGTTTCCAAACAGTTTTAGTTTGGCGGGTGTAATTTCCGACAGCAACATGAGAAAGGATCGCTTCTTGTGCTGCCGCAGAGACTGTTGAATCTGTCGCACAATGGCGGGATTGCCTTGTCGGCCCAGTGTCCCTAGAATGATTCCAAATGTATTGGCCGATTGTTTGGTTTTGGCAATGGCTTCCTGTCGAATTTGTTTCATGGCGTCGTGATTGTAGGATTCCTCCGTGAGAGTTTTTCCGTAGGGATCGTATCGATAGAATGTGTCAATGTGAGGATTCGAGATCAAGGTACTTTCCAAATGGAATCGTCCGTCGGCGACAAAGCAAACAACGGCTTGTGGGGTGGAGTGTTGATGTAGTTTGGGAGATGTACATCCCAGTACTTCACCTGGAGAGAGGGGTTTGGCTTGTGGAATGGAGACATGTTGGTACTGTTTCTCGTCCGTCAATAACCGCGTGGCTTCTACTAGAGCGTGTCGGAATTGCACCGTTCCCAAAACGTACACATGAACGTTCGTCTCTGGCTGTTCCCGTTGCTGCAAAGTCGTGTGCAAACACTCTACCAAATGCGGGACATCCAATTGAATTTCCACAAACACGTACAGACACGGAATAGCCGTGTGCTGAATGGGTACCAAACAGGAGTGTCCGTAATGAATCAACAATTGCGCTCCCAACGCTTGGGCATCCAAATCTCCCACACAACAAGCGCCGTAGGTGACATCTCCCAAAATCGACACATCTTGCAAGACGGGAGCCGCCAAACGCTTCAAGGCATCTGCCAAGACGGTCGCGTACAAGAGCAACCCTTCCGGCATTTGCAGCGCCACATGACTGGCTTTTGTGGCGTGGATCCGTTGGACCGATTTTTCCAGTTCAAACGAGTACGCCTTGGGCAATCCGGATTCCGTCAAGACCTTTTGCAACAAGACAGGGTCGACCGTCACGGGCGTTTCCGCGGGTTTTCTTTTGCGACGTACCACGCGGCGTGGCTTTTTAGTAGTACTAGTAGTGGTCGGCTCTTCTTCTTCTTTGTGTTCCGTCATGGTGGAGTGTTTCTAGGCCGCGACTGTAGTGACGAAAATTGAGTGGTTGGCGGTTGATGAAGGCGGTTGATGAAGGAAACCTGCAAAGATCTACAAACACCTGTATCAATTTTCCAATTCCACATTTCTGACTTTGGGTTTCTCACATTTTCAATTTGGACGATTTCTCACAATTTCAATTTTGACAATTGCTCGCAATTCGATTTTCCAAGTTAGATTCGATTCCTCACAATTCCAATTTGGCTGATTCCTCACAATTCATTTTTCGATTCCGATTTCTCACAATTTCAACTTGGCCGATTTCTCACAATTTCAATTTTGGATTTCAGATTCCTCACAATTCAAATTTTGCCGATTCCACACAATTCCAATTTTTAATTTTGATTTCTCACAATTCGATTTTATATTTTTTGATTCCTCACAATTCAAATTTTACTGATTCCTCACAATTTCAATCTCAGTTTTTTAATTTTGATTTCTCACAATTCGATTCTCTATTTTTCGATTCCACACAATTCAAATTTTACTGATTCCTCACAATTTCAGTTTTAATTTTTGGATTTCTCACAATTTCAATTTTGTTGATTCCTCACAATTTCAATTGTTAATTTCCGATTCCTCACAATTCGATTTTCGATTTTTCGATTCCTCACAACTCAAATTTTACTGATTTCTCACAATTTCATTTTATGAATTCCGATTTCTCACAATTTGATTTTCCATTTTTGATTCCTCACAATTCCAATTTATAATTTTTGATTTCTCACAATTCTTTTTTCTGATTTTCGATTCCTCATAATTTTGATTTTGGGTTTCTCACATTTCCAACTTTATTTCGAAATATTTAAATTTGAATTTTTGTCAAAAATGGTGACAGTCCAGTGACCAGTCATTTAGTTCATGTACAGTGACACAGTGACAGTGCTGTAGTCATGCTACCGGTTCCGGTACCAGATCCAGCAAACCGAACCCCGGCAGAACAGAACAGACATAAACGGTACCCCACATCGTCAAACAACACAAAGAGGTTCTTTGGTTCTTTCCTTATTACAGGAGCACTTGCTTTCAACAATGATGTTGTTAAACGAAGTACAGCTAGAAGGTGCAGGCAGCGGGGGTGGTGCTGTGATTCTCGGTGACGATTCTTCTGATGCAGTCAACGAAGAAGATCTGGAAGATCTCGCGGCACAGTTTCAAGGGGCCATGGAAGATGATTTTCGAGAACTGGAGGATGCAGGCAATCAAAACAAAGTTGTCCCAGGTGACGAGGTACAAGAGACGAATAATGGCCGGATGCGGCTGACGGACCAAGAACGGGAGTGGGCCATCAACATCAAGATGGCAGCGGAACGGCAGCCGGATTTAGATAACATGTCAGACTTTTGGTATGCCCAGATTGCCCTATATGATCAGGACAACGTGGAAGCCGCCTTGCACAGGATTCATAACATGCAGACCTTTTTCAGAGAGCACAAGGTTGTGGACAATTGGAACAATGGAGAGAGACATATACGTGAATGCATGAACGCGTTTCCTGGCTTTTTCCTTGCCTTCAGCTATAGTCCATCGGGTGGCAACTACTCACTTGTTTTGGACTGCATCAAGTGCAACAAAACAGTCTCCAACAGATTCGACCAAGCCATTGGATCCCTGATTCGCTCTTTTTACTTTTTGTTCAATGCAGCGAGCCCAGATTTTGAATCTCAACGAAATGGACTGTACTGCATCACAGAATGCAAAGATTTTGATTGGACCAAGACATTTGGCCTTTCCGAAGTGCGCCGACTGTGGGAAGAACTTGGTCTTGTGTATCCCATCATTTATGATAAACTCGAACACGTGCATCCAACCATAGAGGTGACTCTACTCTGGTCTCTGACAAAGAGGTTTTTGAAAAGGGAGATCCACAAAAAGTTTGCTTTTACCAGTTGCAGTGAGGTTGCTCGTCTGGATCAAATATATTTGGTTCCAACCATGGAAGCTGCTAATGAAAGATTTCTGGAAAGTGTCAAAGAGGCGTTGCTCCGGCGGTGTGAAAATGAGGCAAACTTTGCCCTCTAAAGCTATAGCGAGCAACCATGCAGCCAGAGAGGTTCCATTGCGTAATCCATTTTACCAGTGCATACAGTATAATATTGATACACAGCGCCCGGCTAAGTATCCCCCGCACCCGTACTGGTACTGTAGTTGCTGTCAAGGGGAGGACGTGGCTTGTAGGTTGCGCCACTTTCCAACGAGGCATGAGAAGCCCTGTTGAAGAAGCCAATAATGAGAATTGCTTGGAGGTGATGAGTTAGCTGGTATGAGAGCCAGCGAGGATTGATCAATGCCTTTGGTCGCGTAAGGGCAAGCTTGGGTTGTCTACATGTAGCACGGCAGCTGCGACGACGAGCTAGCTAGATACTTTGAGCCGACGGTTCAATTTCGGCGAAACCGGCATGAGACGCCTTTTTGAATCCATTGATGGATCTTCTGTTGTGGGCCACCTATCGACAGGCCGGACCGCGAAATGAACTATACGACTGTACTGAGAATCTTGCTGAGCTCCTCAGGTGTCCTCCTTCGGAACGAGAAACGGCATGCAACCCCCAAGTTCAATTTTCACCTCGACAGCCAACTACCGGTATGTTCAGCTACCGCTGGTTGTGCTCCATGTACACCTTTTCCGCCAATTCCCACAAATCTTTAAATTGATCTCGAGTTGGAAGAACGAGATCAAAGTTGGCACCGTCAAAGCCTTCACGTGATCTTCTGTAACTTACGAACCAGCGTAGTTCAAAGTGGTCTGATGGCGCTTCCCCCGTCATGGTCCAAAACATCAAATATGCACACAGCAAGCTGCCGAGTACACTAGGATGCAAATTATCCGGGCGGTAGAGTTCGTACCAAAGTTCATAATTGGACTCTCTCAAATCGGCAAACGCTTGTCCCACAGGGGCCGTTCGCACGTCATCGATTCCTGCTTCCATTAGCGCCTGCTCGTATTCCTGATAGCCCTCCTTCACTTTTGCAAAGAACTCGGTAAAGTTTCCCAAGTTATTTGGCGTAGCTTCGAGATCTGCTCGATAGGCATAGGTCTGATACAGTATGGGAGTGATTTGCTTTTCCAATAGCACAGGGGCGTAACTTTCGCGTAAGACTTAAAGGGTTGAGTTCCGAGTTTCGGGTCTGGCAGGCCACTGGGAATGATCATTCAAGACCATGAAATCATAATCTCTATGTTCCAGCATGTCCATCACAGTAGCCGATCCAAACGCCATGAGGTAAGGACAGAAGCGTGTCAGAAAGCCGCAAACATTAGAATCCAGGTCCCACGTCTCCTTCAAGTTTCCGCCCTCTCTCAATACATTGTGTTGAGTGTATCTGTACCCGGCCCGCTCAAACAACTCGCCCAATAGATGGGGAAGATCGTTGTAGAATTGCAGAGAATTTCCAACAAAGGCAACGCTAATCTCCCGAGCGTTGTCGCATGGGAATAAGCCAATGCTTCCAGGAAGAACTATCAGAACCAAGAGCAGAGCCAACGCAACATGATGTCGTCTTGCTGGGTTAGTGGTAACGGGTTGGACATGCATTGAAGAAGTGAGACGCGAGGTGCTATCCAGAGTCGGAGGGCATAAAAACCAAATGCGTGTGACATCGAGGCATCTCGAAAGGCGTTAGTCAGGTCAGGGAAATAGATAGTGTCGATCTTGTCTTCAGGACCAGTGCGAGCCCCCCAACGCAACATATTTGTCATTGGGCGGTCGGCGTCCAGGTACCGGTGTACCGTAAAATAGGCGAACATTCCGCATCTGGAAGGAAGGATCGATTAGAAGCGTTGGAGCGTTGTGCCGGGTGCTTCGTGGGTTCATCTTTGTCATGACGGTAGCTACGTACCGGTAGCGATACGCTTGATACGGTATCGTTAGCTAAACTAACTAAGTATTTTCGTTTCCGTGGCGGTACTGTACCGTACACTCTCACCTTCCTACGGTATGATAGCTTAATCCTCACATTTTCAACTCGGCTGATCCAAAATGAAAACACCGAAACTTGTTTCCCTCCACTCGACACTGTCATCCTTCATTATTTGCTGCTTGGTCACCAACGGTGCTTCCAAAGTAACAGCGAAAGGGCCTCGCCCCACCCCCGCACCGGTAGACAATGTGACGGCTTCAACCTTTGACCCTGCAGGATTTGAGGGAGCTGATCTCGAGAAACACCGGAACCTAGAGTGCAATCCCGATTGGGATCTTTTGAACGATCTTCTCGCAGAACTCCTCCCTGTATTCAATGCAGCCATTCAATCATTTGTGCCGGATCCGTTGGTAGGAGGCCAGTTGGGTGCCCCTCCCGCCATGAGGTTTCTGGGTGGTCCCTACGACTTATTCGATTGTACAACTGATCATTCATTCATGGAGTGGCAGCTTGGAGGTTTGAGGGGGCTGTCACTAATGTATATTGAAGCATTGGAGTTTGTGCCCAATACAGGCACCATGGAGGTCCCATGTGCTGGCACCGTCAATTGGGATGGATCTTTTCGTGTGGCGATCAAGTCCCCAGCCAGACTCGATGTGGATTTCAATATGAACTTCGCCCCCAATGGCACGGAGAGCGGAACAAATTGCGCGAGAAACTACTCGCTGTCTGGGGACGCTTACGTCGAGGGTCCAGGATTCGATGGTGTCATCAATTTGATTGGGACACTGTGTGGGAATCAAATGAACATTGACTCTGCCCAATTCCCAAATCCACAAAACCTACTCTTTTCAAGACTTGGTGCAGACTATGACGGCATCCCAGGGTGGTTGCAGACGCTCGTGGACTTTGTTACCGACTACATTGTTCAGGAATACAGAGATGATATCGAGATCACCGGAGAGCCAGAAGAACGAAGCGCAGTCGAAACCAAATTGGTAGAGGAAGGACAAGCTTCAGTATCAATCCGGAAGGCAATGGCTTTTCATGTAAAAGTTGCAGGCCCTGAAGTAGCTGAAGACGTAAGGCGTTTTTTCGGTTGGGATGAGGAGTTAGAGGACGAAGATGATGAGGACTTGGATGGAGAATCCGGGTGGTTTGATTGGATGGATTTTTGGAGCTGATATGGTTTGACCCTCAAACTATCCTCAACACCACGCATCTCCTTGTATTGTATAAGCATGCTTTTACGGTACCGGTGTGCCCTCGCTGCTCATCCGTCTTTGCATCCATGCTGTGGGTACTGCCGTTCGTTGTTCGTCCCGTCGCACTCGCCCGCAAACAACGCGGAAATCTCCGAGGCAGTGCAAGCAGTTTGGGGAGAGAACCACGTGGTCAGCATAACGCAAAAATCCTTGTCCCTACTACCCGTACGATGAAGTTACGGAAGTAGCTAATCAGAATCAGTCACAAATAATCGAAGTTGTTGTATAAAGCAGCAATTTCTGTCACTACCAATGTTAGGGTGACAAAATCGCCATCTTGTAGCTTCGAGCAGGAGCCAGATCGAAACAGCACCCGGGGTCAAGGTTGCAACAGACAACGCGATACATCTAACGACGCTGTCTTTTCCGGAACAACGGATGCTTCTTAGATCCCGATGAGATCTCTCGATAGCGCATGCCACTACCACCGCTTAGTGTTGCCATGGACCCTGCACTCCTCTTGACCTTGGCGTCAGACAACGCCGCACCATCGGGGTTATTCTTGCGAATGGCATTGTCTTCGTCGCGTTGTTCCTTTTCGAGAGATGTCTCGGCCGTCAGTACCGTCCGAAGAAGCTTGCGATCATGCTCTGGTGTGGAAAAATTGAAACCGCTTTCAAGCGCCTGGGCATCAGCCTTTTCGCAGAGGTTGGTCACCACCTTGAAGGTATATCCCTGATCGATCAAGAATTGTTGTCGTTTGGCAGAATAGAACATTTCCTGCGTATCACTGCTCACGAGTGTATAGAAGAAGGCGTTGAAGGTATTTCGATTGGACCCATCTTGTTGCGTGTACGACTTTGGTCGCAGAATACGGCCCAATCGCTGGGCTTCTTGTCGTCGTGATCCGAAATGGCTGGACACCTGCACCACTACGTTGGCTTCGGGCAAATCAATCGATGTGTCTCCGACTTTGGAAATGCAGATTGTTCGAATGGCGTCGGTGGCTCGAAAGGTTCCCAAAATGGCGGCACGTTCTCGTTCCGGGGTTTCACCATAGATGAGTGGTTTCTTAAGCATTTCTGCGTAGAGCTTGAGGGAGTACACAAGATCTGAAAACACAATGATCTTGTCTCCACGTTCTTCGTGAAACTTGACCAAGAATTGGACGGCGCGAATCTTGCTGGGGTTCATAACGTACAACAACTGCTTGAGTCTTGCATTCGATGCCATGAGGTATTCCTTCATGAACGGTCCCGTCATGGGACACCAAATTTCGACGCACTGTACGTTGGCGAGGTAACCCTGCGTGGTAAGATCCATCCAATTGGCTTCGTAGAGTTTGGGACCAATTAGAAAGTTGAGATCGCTAATCAAGTCATCTTCTCGCACAAGGGTGGCCGTCAATCCCAATCGACAATGTGCCTTGACGGATCCCACAACGCGACGAAACATTTTGGCGGGTACAACGTGTACTTCGTCCATCAACAAGAGCCCCCATTCCCGACTGGTAATGATATCCATGGTCTCCTGCGCCTTTTCGGATCGTTTTCCGGCAAAGGCAATCATGGTGTAGGTAGTGACCAACACACAGGCTTCGGGATGAATCGTGTCTTTACGGTCGGATGTGAAAACCGCAATATTGGCGTCAGGAATGTTGGTCCACAGCTGGAATTGGAATTTCCACTGCAGCACCGACACGGCGTTGGTGGCTAAACAAACGACACTCTTCTTGATGGTCTGTGCGGCCGTGACACCGGTCAGTGTCTTCCCGGCTCCACAGGGCAGCACAATAATGCCAGATCGGGCGCGTCCATTACCAAACATCTTGGCCAATGCACGTTCCTGATAACGTCGAATGCGAGTGTGCGGTTTCAAATCCATCTTGGGGACTATCATGATAACATGATCGAGTTCAGTTCAGTGAGAACATGCATACACGGTCAGGCTGACACTATACTCACATCGCAACAACAAATCTATACTTACCATCTGGATTAATCTTGTCATTTCGAAAGTCGTATTCGTCCATGAGTGGATAATCCAGTTCAATAGCTTGTCGTTTGACCTGTTCCACCAATTCTCCCTTGACTTGAAAGGAGACAACCTGTTTGGTGCCCTTTTTCTGTCCGGCTTGTTGCCCCTCCTCTTCCTCTTCGTCACTGTCATCTTCTGGTTCTTCTATAATATGTAGATTTTCCTTCATTTCTTCGGCCTTGGTTTGCTTGACGAATCCATGTTCATCTACTTCGGTATTGGCATCTTCCGTGACGCGCGCTTGGGCAATGACGGGATCCCTCAGCAATTCCCTCAGTACGGTATGGAATTCCGATTCGACGTAGAATTTGTTGTGTTTGAGGACCAGTTTGGCCTTGCCGTATTTTTGGGTACAATCTCGAACGAATGCCTTGACCTGTTTGGGTAGCTTGTTTTTGGACATGCGATCCAAGACGGAGATAATGGCTTCCGTTTCGATATTGGTCGCCACGGCGGCATAGAGGGAATACGGCGTGAGCTTGTACTGATGCAAGAATTCGGGACGGGCCACTGGTTCGGCAATGGCCACTAGAAAATCGTAGGCACTGGCGTATAGATCGTGAAAGGCTTCCAGGTAGATAGTGCCGTCGGGACAGCTCCAACAAGGACGCTGGCAATGGTCGGGCTTGAGCGGCATCTTGGAAAAATCAGCGCCAAAGGGACTGTTGGGATCTCCTACCGCCGTCAAGGCAGTTTCGCGTTTGGCGGCTCGTAGGACCAACTTACGGGCAGAGGCATATTCAGCCGCCCCACCGGTTTCACCGTCGTCCATGGTTGCAATACAGTACAAGAACAAGACGACAAGAAGCAGCAAGGGATGGATCGAGTGATGTGAAAGGTATTTCCTTTGTTTCCTTGAGAAAATGGGAAATGGGGATTGAAAGGGGAGCACGTTTGTTGACGTAGTAAGTCACGGATTCACAATGAATCACGGATACGATATCTTTTGGGGTCGGTCGGGTGTTCT